TCTGTAATACCTTAGAGACCAGGAAAACAAAGCTATCACACATGCTTTCCAATGTGTAGACCAAGGGGCCCTGCCTGGGTGCTGGGCTGACTGTGGAGGGAGAGGCGCCTGTTTCCGTCAGCCTCCTTGATTCTTTGTAGAGGCCTCATACCCTCACTAAAACCTCCCAAAATCATTTTCCGTCTGACCCTAAATTGGAATCTACCACATATTAAGTTACAGCTCTCATTTACTGAACACTTCCCAAGTGCCACGGACCAGTGCCAAATACTTGGTACAGTACAACGATGCAATGAAGAAGCTGTTATTCTCCCCACAGGAACTGACTCAGGGAGGTTAAGTATTTTGCCAAAGGTACGAAGCTACTATGTGGTAGAGTGAGGAAGATTCAAATCTGTGGCTTTTTTTTTTTTTTTTTTTTAAGTAGGCTTCACACCCAGCATGGTGCCCAACGCAGGGCTTGAACTCACGTCCTTGAGATCAAGCGTTGGATGCTTAACCGAGCCACCCAGGCATCCTTCAAATCCACAGCTCTTAACCTGATGTCCTAGGCCTCTAATTATCTACCACATAGTGTGGCTGATCACTTCTCTCCCCGCTTCTAGTTAAATTCCACAGAAAAGGGGAAATGAAGACTTCTGGGAGGCCTGGCATTTCTTCACATCTTCCCATCAATTGTCCAGCCTGTCTGAGGCAGAACAGATACTCCGACTCACTTCTGTAGAGCTCAGTCCATTTTTCCAAGCACCTACTGGACCAAATCCACCCTGTAAGTCTTATTTTTCCCAAAACCAACAACACACCGTGCTCCGTACCAGGGGCTTTATTTATGATGGACTTTCAGCCTTATTCAGTGAGTACGCCAGCAATCCGTCTTATGACAAATCCCTGCACCTAGTTTCTCTGGGGCTCTGGGGCACCCCTGTCGGGCACCACGGTTAACAAATTCATCATCAATCTGGCAGTAACACTTGGTTTAAACCAGTGGCTCACCACCTAGCTCCTTTTATGATTTTCTTTTCATGAACCTCAGGAATTGCTCTAATGTCAACAACCGAGCAAGAGTGAATGTACTTCTTTTCTTCTGTTACTGAAGAGGAGGGAGGAGCTTAATCCCTGGGTTCTGCGGTCCCCAGGTTGGATACTGCTGCATATATGGTTTCAGAAGAATCGCCATCCTGTGGTTTTGATAACGACTTGTAATTCAGTGTGCAGCCCAGAGCAGTCTGGGACTCAAACCTTCTATGTACAGAATTTTATGCAATATAAAGGCTTTCTATTATTGCTCTCCAAAGTGGCATTTTTTCAATATTGTCACTTGTTGAGTGTATCTGGGTAAATGTTTTAGACTGATCAGCCAGTACTCAGAAAATTAAGATTATGGATAGAGGCCCATGATGTTAGGAAGTAGAGGATGTGTTTAGAATAAACATATGAACCAAAAGGGTAATCCACTTAACAAGGACTGTCAGGTCATTCTGATCTGAGGGCCCTCTGTGCAATTTAAAAAAGGGACAATGTCACCATTCAGTGAGCTGGCGATGATTCCTCAGTTTGGGCTCATCTGCAACAATTCTGAGGGAGACAAGTGGCATCCCTCTTAAACTTGGAACTATGCTTACTTTCTCCCGGGATATTCCTGTTGGGAGGGGAACAGCCTCTCCTATTCTGGAGAAGTAAGTGGCAGAGTTTTGCTTTAAAAAAAAAAAAAAAACAATCTTTACATTCAACAATCTTTACAAAGTTACCTGAAGACTAGAACATAGCCCTAAACAGCCACATCAAATACAAAGTGAACGAGGGCTACACGGATGACTCAATCCACTGAGGATTTTCTATTTGGCCCCACCAGCCAGCTCTCCACTAAGTAAGATGTGGGGAGGAAAGTGCTGAACAGCATGACCCCGATGTGGCCAGAATTGTAGCACAATGAGGGAAACACAGTGGTACTGCTGAAGGGGAAAGATTTACTCTCCTGGTTACAGAAAGAAACAAAGCCCACCAAAATGTGCTGGAGACAGAGCACGAGCGTGGGTTACAACTTCGGACACTGAAGTGGGAAGTGAAGGAGGAAAGAAGAATCAGGAGAGAAGGGACCGGCCGGCATGCAATGGAGCCATTGTAGCCCTGGACGTTAACCCAACGGGGACACGCACTGTGGCAAACAGAGCGCATTTGCCAATTACCAGCTCTGCTTCCCTTACCATGAAAGACAGGCTTTCTCCAACTCTGTGCCATTGTTCCGGCACCTTTTACCCCTAAAGACCTGGTGGGAGTTGTCCCCTTCCCAGATGATGTCTCACTTGAAAGCTTATCACCATCTTTAATGATCAGGCAGGATAACTATTAGGTACACAGCGTGTCTTTCTCCTAGGACTCACCCCAGTGTAACTTTCCAAAGAAGTTTTATTTAATTCTGTGGGAGCGCTTGAATTTATGCCCCATTAAAGCTCCCTTTTGAAAATTACAAGCTGAAGCCACATCTAACAGTTACGACGTTTCTTTGGATCCCACATAGTTCCTAAAAATGGAAAACTCATTTCATGGTCAAAGAGCCCATAAAAAATATGACTTCATTTGAAATGCCCAACTTTTTTTTAAAGTAAATCAAGTGATTTCAGGTGTTTTAAAGTTTTTAAAAAAAAATTATAGCATTCTATAAACACTGGACATGCTCTGAAAAGAGTCTCTTGTAAGACACGACATCTGAGACTGGAGACTAACATTTTTTCTCCCCCTCTGAGATTTGCTTTTGCTTTCAAATTTAACTCTTGTATTTTTTAGTACCAAGGTCACGAATAGAGCCTCTTAATATTTATGTTCTTACTCATCTTTTATTACGCCACAGAAAAAACAAGTGGCGCTAGCCTCCTATTTCTAGACTTTGTTACATAATGACTTTGGGTATGACCATCATGGATGAGTCAATCCATCATTTAACCAACATAAGTCTCCACTATGTGCCAACTAGGACCAAAGTCCTATAGGAACAGTTCACACAGTCACACTCCTACTGAAGATCAGGGTTCCAAGTTTCCAGGAACATCAAGTATATAGTTGAGACACACTGAACACTGCTTACTTTCCAGGAGGACCATCCCCTTACTTTTTACCTGCTTTTGGGGGGCTGGGATGGGATGGGGGATCATCCTCTGACATGAATAAAAATACCAAGGACTCTAACTTCACCAAGATGCCCCTGAAATTTTTCACAGCCCCTACTAGGTACTGGGATCCCTGGGCTTGTGTCTTGAGGTCTACGGGAGATGCTCCAAAGAACAAGGAAAATCCAGATCTGCAATCTCTAGGGAGTTCTCGTGTCCTAGAGTGAACAGCTAGGGTGTGGGGGGGTCCCCCCTCAATAATCTCTGCAGCAATGAGGGCCCCATATGGACAGCGAAGTTCAGGGCTGTCTATGATGTGGCTCCAGCCTTTTCAACCATCACGGACCTTCATCCATTCTAGTCACCCTATTCTACTGACTCAAGAGCACTCCCTGTTTTCCCTTCACCTGTCCCAGCTTTCTTCCACATCTTTGCTCATGCTATTCTGTCTGGAATGCCCTTCTTTCTCACCTCTCTGTTCTTCCAACTCACGCGTGTTCTCTCAGTTCATTTAAAATGCCATCATCTCCACGAAGACTTCTCTCACGCATCACTCAACTAGAAGTTTCTTTTTCTGAATTCATTTTCCTCTGAATGAAGTCTATCTCTCTTCTATCGTTTATCACATTTTAACTTATATGACAGTCATTGCATTTCATCTGTTAACTTCCCTATAAAACTGAAAGATACCAGAGTCCAGAGTGCACGTCCTGTTTCTTGCATCCCACCCAGTATTTCTACGGGTTTGCAACTAGGTTCTGCACAGCTGCAGGGTTCCACAGAGGTGTCCCAAGACCACCACGGGGAGCAGAGAAAATAGACGCATATGGAGACATCCTCCCCCTAAATGTGCTTCAGTCAGGTAGGTCTGAACTCGTCTATTTACTGTGATTTGTGTAAGATTTTTTTTTTTTTTAAGGAGTCTGCTAGAGATAGGGGGGAAAAAACCCACTGCAGTAGCCACTGTCAAATAAACAAACAGAACTATACCCAACATCTCTAGCACTTTCTCAGTTCAGATATAATGAAATCCAATGATTAAAAACAAGGAGCAAAGGTTCAGAGTGCCTGTCAATCAAAGAACCCAGTCAAAACAGAGGGCCCTTTTTCCTGTCCCATACTGACCTTTTTTACAGTAAGATTTGACAGAAGCCCCTCGAGCCTTAACTGAGTTACGTTTAAGGTATTACCCAGAACCCGCTGTGGCTCGGGTTCTGCTCTGGTGTGTGTCTATGGACACAGGCACACCGACCATGCTTTGACCTCAGTGTAACTTCAGGGAAGTAGGAAGGGTTACAAATGACGCTGATGTCTCTTGATTCCTCCTCCCATCCCGCACCCCCCCTCCCCCAAATAAACCTACTCTTCCTTCAATCTGCCCCACCACTGTAACTGGCACTAATAACCACTCTGTTGCCCAGGCTAAAATTCTAGGAGTTTTCCTTGATTTCCCTCTTTCCTTCACTACCCACAACCAATTTATCAGCAAGTACTGCCCGGTCGTTCTGAAGCAGCTCGTTTCTCCCTGCCATCCATGGCTGCCCACTGCTACGGTTCAAGGCATCCTCATTTCGGACCTCCCCCAACCGTAATGCCTCTTCTCAGGTCTCCCACCGTCCGCCCCCTCCTCCCTATTATCCATTCTGCAGGCAGCAGCGAAAGGCATGTTCAAACCTCTTTTTCTTCAAAACTCTCAAGGTTTAAAAACTGGGAACTCCTAACTGGTAAAACTAAACTAGCCCGCGCTTCTATTTCATTCCAAATGAAGCAAATTTGCTCCTCCCAATCATTTCCCACCGGGAAGTTTCCCTCTCATTAAGAAAGAAGACAAGTTAGTCAGGTGACTGAGCAGAGAGATGGAAGGATCAACATCCCCTGAGAAGGGAAATGACTTACGGCTTCAGATTTGGGAGGCACTGGAGGTGGAGGTAGGGCGATCTCTGAAGACTTCATGGCTGCTCCCAGAGTTCCGGGCACAGGAAGAGGAGAGGTTGCACCTTTGGACCGGACGGAACCTCTGGACTGATCGCATCTGCTCTTCTCGCTCAGGGAACGCGTGAGAGGCTGATGGCTGGGCTTGCCGTCCTCCAGCCAGAGCTCTTCGTAAGGAAGCTCCGACTTCCCCAGGACGCCCGCCGATTCGTCACCAGCTTCCGGGAACAGGTAGTCGCTCCCACTGTCCCCCAGGTCCTGATAGGGCAAGATGTCGTGAGGGAAGGGCGCCCACTCCCCCCCCAGGTCCCTGCAGCCGTGGAGGTTCACCTCACTGTTGCCATGGAGATTGTTGCCATACACGCAGACGGAGAGCCGGTGGAAGGACTGCGTGAGCTCATCGCGGGCGTAGCTCAGAGAATTGGGCACGTGGTTGTGGCCAGAGCACCGGCCCTTCCTGGGGCTCTTGCAGTCCTCATTCCAGTCGGTCTTCACATCTCGGACAGCCCGGGAATACTCGTCGATGTCGAATTGTTCTTGGCAGATACCCAGCCAGTGATGCACCAGGGTCTCGGGCCACACGTCTCCCTTTACCAAGTGTTCCGGGAGGCTGAACTTGGGGACCGTCAGGTGCAAAGGGAAGTGCATGGGGAGGATCTTGTTGCTCCGTAGCGCACAGCAAACCACCACTGTCTTGGTCTGGATGTTGACGAACTTGTAGCGGTGCCCCTCGCGGATGAAGTGGAGGTCATAGGGGTTCCTGGGCGGAGGGCTGGGCACCGTCACGTTCACGGGGAGCCTGGTTTTCTCCACAATGTTGCGGATGGTGTGCTCGCCCTCCTGCATCTGAAGTTCTAGGGGACTGCGGGTGCTAAATCTGCCCTTGCACTGGAATGGCAGGCTAATGCTTTCATTGGTTCTGTGATTCATGCAGATCAGGCATGGCATTTTGCCCTTTCCCAGCTTGCTGATGGAGTTGAGCTTGCCGATCTTTTTGAAGATTGTGTTGAGTCGTGACTTTTCCTTGAAAGTCTTTGCGTACAGGATTTCTGCCTGCCCCATGAGAGTGAGTTCATCCCCAGTACAGAGGGTGATATTATAAACTTCGGTGTCCTCATTGCATTCACCCGAAGCAACCTGCAACAGGAGAAATCCGTTCTACGTTAGCTGCCTTCAGTCCATTCCCGCACAAGAGCAGGCAACTTGCCATGAAGACACACAAGCACGTGCACAAAGGAAAATGCTGTTCCCGTACTAAATTTAGCCACTCCATTTCTTTTATAATATTTATATGGCTAACAGTAACAAGAAGATATTCCTTTAGACTTGTAAAAACATACTTTGTTCTGAAGAAATAAGCAATCTGTTCGTTAGTAAAAATTTGGGAAATAGAGAGAAAAGACTCAAGAAGAAAGTAACACCCACGGGCCTGATTCAGAAATAGCCACCGTTATAATGGTTTGGTAAACATTCTTCCAGTTTCTTTGTCCACGTAGAGCAGCCTATCATATGGATAATTATTTTGGGATAGTAATATCATTCTGTCTCTTCAGCTATTAAAAAAAAAATGCTTTCACAAACACCACTGTAGAATATTCCTTTTTTTTAACTATTAAAAAATTTTTTTTAAAGATTTTATTCATTTTATTTGTCAGAGAGAGAGAGAGAGCGAGCGAGCGCACAAACAGAGGAAGAAGCAGGCAGAAGGAGAAGCAAGATCCCCGCCAAGCAGGGAGCCTGATGCAGGACTCGATCCCAGGACCCTGGGATCAAGCCCCACATCGGGCTCTCTGCTCAGCAGGGAGCCTGCTTCCCCCCACCCCCTTCTCTCTCTGCCTGCATCTCTGCCTCCTTGTGATCTCTATCTGTCAAATAAATAAATAAAATCCTTAAAAAATATTTATGAAATTTTCTAAAGTTGGAATTGGGAGAGAGGATGTAAAAATGTTTTATTTCTCCCTGTCCTTTAATTTTATTAAACAAACTATTCATGTTCTTTGGCAGAAATATTAGAAAATATAGATGCAAAGGATGAACAAATTCTATAGTCTTACCACTAAAGATAATCTATGTTAACAATTATATAAATATATAAATTTATATATATAATTATATAAATGTATATATAAATATATACATTTATATATATAATTATATCTATCTATCTATATTTATTTATATATAAATGTACATATATAAATTTATATAAATAGAGAAAAAGAAATGAGATGCGTCATCTCTCTTGGAAATTTTTAAGTACATGCATACAATTTTGTTACTTTTTTTCTCACTATTTTCATTTTCTCCTGTTAGGTATACACCTTCGGTTATAATACTGAGCTTATGCATCTGATTATCTGGGCATATGCCTTAATTTTTCTGACTAGTTCCTTATTGTTAGACAGATGGGTTTTCCCAATGTTTAGCAATTTTGAATAGTACTGCAATGAAATTTTTTTTTAAAGATTTTATTTATTTATTTGACAGAGAGATCACAAGTAGATGGAGAGGCAGGCAGAGAGAGAAAGAGAGAGAGGGAAGCAGGCTCCTTGCTGAGCAGAGAGCCCGATGCGGGACTCGATCCCAGGACCCTGAGATCATGACCTGAGCCGAAGGCAGCAGCTTAACCCACTGAGCCACCAGGCGCCCTGCAATGAATTTTTTTACGGTTCAACTATTTCCTTAGGATAAAGGCCCAGAAGCAGCATTGCATGGGCAAAGCTATCAATACCTATTTGGAAGGTCTAATATGCATTTCCTATTGCGCTTCCTCAATGTTATATTTACTCACACTTCTCCCACTTTATGAAATTACAGGTCTCTCCATATCCATGCTTAATGAGTTTAATGTCTGCCAATATTAAAGGTAGAGCACATATACTGCATTTATTTATTCACATTTTATTTGATTATTAGGGTAGTGAATCTATTTTGGTACTCATGTATCTGGCCATTTAGATCTCTTCCTTGTGAATGTCTGTTTGTGCCCTTCACCTATTTTTTTCTATTGGGACGGTCATCTTATTGATTATTTTTTGTCATGTGAATATCATCGATTCTATATATTTTCCAATTTGTTGCATGAATTTCAACTTTATAACTTCTGTAAGAGCTAAAGTTTTTTCTTCCTATGTAGCAAACTTTTTCAAAATTTTCCTTTGTAATTTCATTCTTGGGCAGTATGCTTCTACTAGTGAGATGACATAAATCAGTAGTTCTGAGTTAGGGGTGATTTTGCCCTGTCTTCCCCAGCCCCTGGGGACTTTTGACCATGTCTGGAGACATTTCTTGATTGTCATGGCTGGGAAGGTGCTACTTACATCTAGCAGACCAGGTATGTTGCTAAACATGGAACAATGAACAGAACAGCCTCTCACAGCCAAGAATTATCTAGTCCAGATTTCAGTAGTGCTGAGGTTGAGAAAAACTGAGATGATTAATTATTTTCTTCTAGAATTTTGATGGTTTCACTTTTTAACTATTTAACTGATTTAATTAAAATTTCTTTGATGGACTATTAAAGGTAGAGATCGAACTTTAGTTTTTTCTTAAAGATTTATCTATTTACGGGGGGGAGGGGCAGAGAGCAACAGTCTTAAACAGACTCCACACTGAGCACAGCGCCCAACGGGGGGCTTCATTTCACGACTCTGAGATCACAACCTGAGGGGGAACCAAGAGTAGGATGCTTAATCGACTGTGCCACCTAGGCACCCCCAACTTTAGTACTTTCAACAGCTAACTGACTGTCCAGTATACTTCTGAAATAACTCTCTCTTTTCATCACGGATTTGAAGTGCTACGTTGATCATGTACTAAATTTATAAAACACATACACTCATTCGTATACTTATATTTGCAACTACTATAAGGCCATTTATCCAAATGACCGTTCTATTTTCTCATCATAACTATACTGTTTCAATTTCTCCATCTTTATCTTACATGTTCAGATTTGATACAAAAACCCTCATTTGTAGTTATTCCAACTCAAAAAGTTTTTTGGATGTCAAGAAACAAGAGAAGCAAAGTCAAAATCAAGTAACAGTCTGAGAGAAAATATGTGCAATATTTTCACAAGAGTGAACCTCCCTAATACATAAGCAACTTTTAAGACATGACCAGAACGCCTCCAGAAAAACAGGTGAAAGTCATGAAAAACCAAGTCACTAAAAAAAGGCGCACAACAGACTTCAAATCCACGGAATGATGTTCAACTTCTTTTATAATTAGAGGAAAGTAAATGAAAATTATACTGAGATACTGCTTCTTACCTAGAACACTGAAAAATATTCAAAAGCTTGACAGCATACTCAGTGGGTGAGGCTATGGGGAAACAGGCACTCTTCACCATAGCTGGTAGAAATGCAAATGATACAAGCCCTGTAGAGGGGAATATGGCAATACTGAACCCAAGTATGTATGTGTTTATCCCTCCATTCAGCAATCCTACTTCTAGGAAATTATCTGAAGACATTCCTCCCATGGTGTGAAAATGCAAATGCACAAGGTTATTCATTGTAGCATTATTTGTATTTGCAAAATGTTAGAATCAATGTAAATGCTCAAACATAGTAGATTGGCTGAATGAACTATGACACAAACACAAAATGTATTATGCAAATAAGAACAAGAATGATGAGTTCAATGAATTAATAGGAAACAATGAACTAATAGGAAAATGACTTTCAGGACATATTAAGTAACCCCCCACCCCCAAAAAAACACCCAAAGTGCATGAAAGATTATATAGTATACTACACCTTTGGAAAAATCAGTATATATTTTTCTGAAGTTAAAAAACAACAATAAGAAGGAATACAAGAAAAATAAACCAGAAAACCAATGAAATTGGGGGCGCCTGGGTGGCTCAGTTAGTTAAGCATCTGCCTTCGGCTCAGGTCATGATCCTAGAGCCCTGGGATCGAGCCCCACATCAGGCTCCCTGTTCAGAGGGAAGCCTGCTTCTCCCTCTCCCACTCCCCCTGCTTGTATTCCCTCTCTTGCTGTCTCTCTCTCTCTCTCTCTGTCAAATAAATAAATAAAAATAAAAAAAGAAAACAATGAAATTGGTCCTTAAAGGAGGGAGGAAACAAGTAGAAGGGAGAGAGTAATACCTCTTTGAGTGTACTTAGCTATAGAGTTTTGATGCTTAGGAGGTAAGTCAATGTTCTAACATATTCAAAAAATAAAATTACATCAGCAAAAAGTTAAAAGAAACCGAAAGCTAAACACAAATGGAAGCAGATGAATCCAATCTTATTTCAAATGAATAAACTAGCCACATGGGGAGAGACAGAGAAATCATCCAAGTAACTTCAAAATGCTTTGACTACAAATTGCCAGTAGGGAAAAAAGACCAACAAATATTGTGTTCTTTTTGGGAGATTTGTTCTGCATATGAGAATGGGTACAGGGATTCTGAACCAACTTTTATGCATATTGTAGAAATAAACAAATGAGTAAACATGTTCTGAGAATCAGAGTTTTCACTGTGGAGGGAAGACAGAAACTGGAGGTATTGTGTTATAACTTTAGAAAACTATACATGGGCACACACATCTTTAGCTTTGTTCCTTCTAAGGGACTAGTCCCCAATAGCCAAACAGTGGAAAGAGCCAAGATGCCCTTCAACAGACGAATGGATGAATCAGATGTGGTCCATATACACAATGGACTATTACTCAGCCATCAACTTTTGTATCAACATGGGTGGGACTGGAGATTATGCTGAGTGAAATAAATCAAGCAGAGAAAGTCAACTATCATATGGTTTCACTTACTTGTGGAGCATAAGGAATAGCATGGAGGATATTAGGAGAAAGAAAGGGAAAATGAAGAGGGGGAACAGAGGGGGAAATGAACCATGAAAGACTGTGGACTCCGAGAAACAAACTGAGGGTTTTAGAGGGGAAGGGGCTGGGGGGGATGGGTTAGCCTGGTGATGGGTATTAAGGAGGGCATAGACTGCATGGAGCGTTGGGTATTATATGCAAACAATGAATCATGGAACACTGCATCAAAAACTAATGACGTACCGTATGGTGACTAACATAATATAAAATAATTAAAAGAAAAATAATGACTCCTGCTAGCACCAAATATACCTAGCGCCCCAATATCATGGCTTCTTGAAG